CCGCCCCCTCTTTCCTCCCCTCCCGGGGCCGCTACGGCTGCTGCCGTTTCCTCCGGGATGGATACAGGACCCCCAAAGAGGTAACTCCCCAGCCCTGCCACCTGCCAGAACTTGAGTGCCAAGCAGCAGCTGCCCTGGATTGGGTTTGCAGCCCTGCCAGGTGCAGTGCAAAGGCTGTGGTGGGGAGCACTGGGAAGATGAGAGCCCTGAGTAGCCCCAGGCAGTGTCATGGGTCTGGGCAAGGCTTCCCAAAATACCAGAGCCCATTGCAGAGGTGGTACATCCCACCCACGCCCATAGCAGATGAGCAGAGCCTGGCTCTGCCTGCATTTTGGGACCTGGTGGTGTTGTGTATCTCTTAGGCTGGGGGAAGATGGGACTACTGCCCTGTGTAGGAGCCCTGCTGAGGTGGGCTCTTTCCCCAGCTCTCCCAGGGCTGCACAAGCACTGAGCAAGGTCTGGAGGCCTGTGGAGGTGACCATGCAGTGCTCCTTCCTGACTGCCTCGGCTCTGCGGCGGCACTGGAGGTCACAAAGCTGCTTCTGCCTTTCTGGGACAGCAGGCAGCTTGTGTACTGCCACACTTGGCTCCCAGCAGAGCGAGCGGAGACTTTCTTCTGCTGCTCTGGGGAGGGAAAACAGGAAAATTTTATAAGCAACAGTCACATTTGATAACCACAGAACCAGGAAATGGTACTTGGAGGCTCTTAAATCATCACTGGTTATTGGGCCCATAGCCTGGTGGGGCTCCTTTGGGTATGAGTGCCTCTAAATGCTTCTCCTCTGTTGTGCCTCTTCAGACCTGACCATAATAGGCAGCGTGTGTGGCTGCGTCTCTCTAGAGCCAGAGAAGAGCAGCAGCATCTCCAGTCTGACTTTCCCAGTGCTCACGAGCTTTGCCTGCGTGCAAAGCCGCAGATTACTTCTGGGGATCTGCGAGGCACGGGAAGGGCAGCATTGCTTGCAGAGGCACTGCAGCTGGCTGGAGTCAAATGGGAGTTTGCGAGCTTGTGGCCAGTGTGCAGGTGCTATAGAAAACATTGCTCCTTCTGTCCCTGCTGTCCTCTCTGCCTGACAGTCTGCCAAGGCTAGCTTCTCACTTCTCTGTAGCAGAGTTAAAGCAGTTAGCAGGGAGGGTCAAGCATCAGTCCCTTGGGGCACTACCCCACGTACATCTAGGGTGGGAGGATTTGGTGAAGGCAGCTCTCCTCCCTGACCACTTCCCTCGTGTCAGGCTCACAGCCACACCAAATGGCAGGAGGGACCCTGCTCTCTGGCCCTGCGTGACCAGCCCAAGCCCTTGCATGCGACTGGGCCAGCCTGGTGATGCTGGAGGAGGCAGGCGCTGAGGGGCTGGGGCAGAGCAGGCAAGGCGAAGGGAACGCAGGCGTCCCCAGTGCAGTGAGGGGGATGTTGTGCTGTTGTACAAGGCTCTGGGGTGCTCTCCTGGGGACTAGGTAAGCTCCCTTTGCCCAGGAAGGGTGAGTCCGTTCAGCATCAGTGCAGGGAGCTTGGGAGGGGTTGTCTGGTGGAAAGGACGCAGCCTGGAGGTGAAACTGCTTTTCGGCTCTGTCTCAGCCATCATCCACAGAGGAGGACTGGGAGGGCATTTGAGGCTGGGGTCTCAGGGGGAGTAGGAGCCCTGTCAGTTTGAGGGGACCCTGCTACCCACCACCTGCCTCGCTGTCACGCCCTCCCTGCAGGACCCCAACCGCCTCTACTACGAACCTGCTGAGCTGAAGCTGTTTGAGAACATCGAGTGCGAGTGGCCTCTCTTCTGGGCGTACTTGATCATTGATGGGATTTTCAGTGGAAACATGGAGCAGGTAAGGGAGGCAGGACCTGCTGGGCCGGTGGAAAGAAGTCCCTGGCAAGGGAGGTGTGTGGGGGAAGGATGCAGGGAGCCATGACTGGGGACAGATCCCTTCTCCTCTCTGCTCAGGTGCAGGAGTACCGGGAGGCCCTTGAGGGGGTCCTCATCAAGGGGAAGAATGGGGTGCACCTGATGCCAGAACTGTACAGCGTCCCGTTGGATAAGGTGAGTAGTCCTGAGCTACAGTGGGAGTGAGAATGTCTCATTACCAGATAATTAGGTTTTAACTGCTTATTAACCCAAATTGTTAGTAAAGCAGCACATGTAGTGCATGGAAACCCCATGTATAAACAGTGTGGCTTGGAGCTGTTATAAAACCATGTTGGATAGATAAACTGCTTTTTTTCCCCAAAGCATTTCTTGCCCCCATATATAAGGGTGCTTTGCTGACAGTCTGCTGGCTTGGAGTCAGAGTCCTCTGAGAGCTCAGGACATGCAGACCTAGGCTGAGGAGGTTGTACTGAGCTCCCGTTCAGTGGTGAGGGTTTTTGGGTGGGCCTGGGCTGAGAGCAACAGCCTCCTGGTGCTCAGGTGGTACAGGAGAGATGCTCTCCCTGCCACCATCCAAGAGCATTACCCCGGTGCTCCTGGAGCATGTCAGTTGTTCCTGTGGGATGGCCCGTGTTGGGAACCCAAACGTGGTCTGAGCAGCTGATCTGTTGCCTGGCGCGGGTGCCTGGGGCAGTCATGAGAAGAGGGGAGGAATGTAGCCAGGATGTTTTGGACGCTATGTGGCAAATCCTTTTCGTAGTCTCTAGTTTTAAGCCTTAAACTGCTGGACTTCACAATGCAATGATAATGCTTCCTTCAGCGTCCTGTGTCTGTGGATCTCTCTCTGACCTCCTGGCTTGTCTTCCAGGTGGATGAGGAGTACAGGAACCCCCACACTGTGGACAGGATACCCATGGGCAAGCTGCCACTCATGTGGGGGCAGTCGCTCTACATCCTGGGCTGCCTGATGGCTGAGGTACGGTCACCCCTGGCGATGGGGAGGGCTGTGGGGCCAGACTCTGAGCTCTGAAAGGGCAAATGCTGTTACCCTGAGCCACCTACCATGGGGAAAGTTGTCACCTCTATCCCCCAGGACCTCTTAAAGGTGGGTTGTCCATAGGCATCACCCGTTCTACCCTGCCCATGAAACGTTCATCTCGTCATACCTCTTTTTCCTCAGGGGTTTCTGGCTCCTGGTGAAATAGATCCCCTCAACCGCCGGTTTGCGACTGTCCCCAAGCCCGATGTGGTGGTCCAAGGTGAGCAAAAGGGACCGGTCCCAAACCCCTGTGCCTGGCAGACCTGGGGACTCTGCCTGTGTGGAATTCACGGGGGTGGCTCTGGGGTGGCTCTGCTTGCTGGGTGGCTGCCAGTGCAGCCAGATCTCAGCCCTGGCAAGGTGGGTATAAGATGGGGTGCAAGTCCTTCCACTCCACCCTGTGTTGCCCCAGGGAAATATCACCTGCTACAGCCTCCTCTGCAGAGAGGCTGAGAACTGTCCTGTCCTCCTGCTGCTCAGCAGGGAAGGCTTGGGTGTAGAGAGTGTTAGGAAGAGCAAGGCAGAGCTCTGCAGTGGGAACTGGTTCCCAAAGGGACCCCAGACAGCTGCCTCTACGTGATGTGCCACCTTGTATATGTGCACACAGGCCAGGGGCAGTGCTGACACACCCTTGCGCCCCTGCCGCACTGAGCCTGTCCTCCTCCCTCCGCAGTGTGCATCCTGGCAGAGACGGAGGGGATCAAGGCTGTCCTGAGGAAGGAGGACATCGACGTGGAGACTGTGGCAGATGTCTACCCCATCAGAGTGCAGCCTGCTCGCATCCTCAGCCACATCTACGCCCGGCTGGGTGAGCTGGGCTCCCTGCTTGGGCAGCAAAGCGGGTGCAGAAGGGTCTGTCCCATCGCCTGGCACTCCTGCTCATAGATGCTGATGTCCTGCCCTGCTGCTCTCTGCCTGGCTGATGAGGGCTCTGCCACCCATTCCTGGGCCTGGTAAAGCTACTCGTGCCCAAGGGGAACTGGGGCAGCAGGCAGTGCTCTACAGGGTGATTCTGAAAGGGATAAAGCTTTGGCACTGCAGTTTCACAGTCGCCCTAGGCACAGGCAGAGGCTCTGATCCATACAGGATGGACCTTGTGTGGGCAGGAGCCAGCTTTAGTTCCTGTACCTAGATCTCAATGGGCGAGACAAGCCAGACCCCAGAGAAGGGTCCCCTGGCAGTCCCTGGCTGAGAGAGCCTGTATCTCAGGCGGGACGGCTGTTGTTGAGGGGTTGGCAGCGCTGAGTGTGAGGGGAGAGTGCGCTCCAGAGTTCTGCACACTCATTCCCTGACACTGCAACCTCCTGGGCATGGGGCTTGTGCAGGAGCTGGAGACCCAGCCTGGGCCAAAGCAGAAACCCGATCCACCACAGGCTGCTCACACTGGCTAATTTAAGCCACCAAAAGGCCAAGTGTGACATGGGCAAGGGGGCAGGGGAGCAGCCTGGCAGCTGCCATGGCTGATGTGACCAAGGGGTGATGCTGCTGCTGCACCGTCCTGGGCTCTGGGAGTAATCCAGGAGCAATGGGAACGCTGATAGAGCTGTCAGCTTTGGGAGGCCAGCCCTGTGCAGAGGGGAACCCCTGGCCCTGCCCCATCTTCTGGCATCCCCAAAGACCTGGAGGTGTGTGTGTGGCATGTTGCGGAGGTCAGGACGGGCTGCATGTTCCTGTTTCAGCAAGAGTCCCTGGGGAGGGCCTGGGTGTCTCTAGCCGCCTAGGCAGGGCTGAGGGACAGAGTATCACTGTCCATTAGAGCTGTGCCAGCTTGACACAGGGTCCTGGGGTACCCCAACCACAAACCAGCCTTTTCCTGCTGGCTGGTAGCACAGGAGCCTGTCTCTGTTTGCTGCTGCATCCCGTTTTGTGAGGAGGCTTGCATTAGAACCTCCTCCTCCTACCCCACTAGGCCGCAACAAGCAGATGTGCCTGACGGGACGGCCCTACCGGCACATGGGCGTCCTTGGGACCTCCAAGCTCTACAACATCAGGAAGAACATCTTTACCTTTACCCCGCAGGTGGGTGGCATTGCATGGGCTCATTCCCAGCTGTCATGCAATCTGGAACTGGGCAGGAGGTTTCTCCACTGGCTGAGCACTTGAGTTATTCTCAGGGGTGGCCCAACACCCTCTGAACAGCCTGGGAGGGTGGAGCAGCCCCAGCTCTGTGGCATGAAGCAACAGAGTTGGCGGTCCTGGCCGTGTGCGTGCTGGGAGGAGATGGTTTCAGCCTTCTAATGATCCGTGTTGGGTGAAAATCTCTGCTCACCCTGACAAGGACACCAGGAGGAGGCTGATGGCAGGACGGGGATCCCTCTGTCCTCTGTCCAGCATGGTGTGGGGATGAGCAGGGTTGCAAGCCTGGTGCTGTGGGAAGTGCGTATTTGCTTTGGATAGGCACAGCATGGACCAGATGTGTGGGGCCTGGGTGATGCTGCTGCTGAGCTGTAGTGTTATCGCCTTGTAGTTGTTGGTGACCAGTAGCTGCCCTGGGGGTTGAGGGTCCCTTGCTAGACTGTACTGGCACATATGAGGTAAGGTGGGATGAGCTGTCCGTGCAAAGGAGCATCTCTCCTGCATGCACTGTGTGGCTGGCCTGGCCTGCCTGTGGGCAGATGTGGGTGGCACCAGAGGGACCTGGTGGCTGCGGGAAGGGCCGCTCACGTCTTCTGCTGTCCTCACAGTTCATAGACCAGCAGCAGTTCTACTTGGCTCTCGACAACAAGATGATTGTGGAGATGCTGAGGACGGACCTCTCATACCTCTGCAGCCGTTGGAGGATGACTGGGCAGCCAACCATCACTTTCCCCATCTCCCACACCATGCTCGGTATAGATCCTCCAGCCTCACAAGGCATTTGGCTAGAGCAGCCCTGGGAAGCAGCCTCTGCAGGAGGAAGGGGGAGGGCAGATGTGGGACCGTCTCAGTAATGGGGACATGGTGGGGCTGGAACAACCAGTAGCGTCCTGTAAAGAGCTTACCGCTCAGAGGAGCCACACTGAGTTGGCAGCTGTCCACGAGTGCCTGCAGCTCAAGGGATGTTTGCTGGCATGGAGGTATTCAGTCTCTGGGCAGCTAGGCTTGTTGAGAGGCCTTTTGGGAGCAAGACTTAAAAAATAATCCTCCTGTAAAAGTGTTCTTGGGGCTTTTCCTGCATCTTAACTCTTCATTCAACTCTTCACTGCTAAAGGCTTTCCTAGACAATAGGGAGGGGAAAAGAGCAAACCAGAAGGGGCAGAGAACTGTGCAATGGGGCAGAGCAAAACTGGCTTCTCTGAAGCAGCTCACAGCTTCCCCATGAGCCTGGTGCAGGGAAGGGACTCTGTTTTGCTTTCAGGCCTTTTTCGTGCTCCTTATGTACTTGAAATCCCCTTAATGTCTTGAGCATGCCCTTTGCTGTGGTGTCTTCTGCCCTCGACAGCAGCACCCCCTCCACTGCCTCATGTGAAAGCCAGGGACAGAGCACGGGGCTGTTTGGGTGCTGCTGTCTGTTACTGTCGGCTTCAGCCGAAGGTGAAATCTCAGGAGCCTGGAGTGCGTCTTGGCCTGGCTTTGCTGGAATCCAGCCTGGACAGTCCTGAATTTCCCTTTCTGGGTGGTGCTTTTGGTGCCACAGCCTCGCTGTGCACCCCAAAGCAAGGGTCTGGCCGATGCCATGGCGCATTGCGTCTCTGAATGCCTGTTTGAGCAGGAGAGCCTGACTGTGTCTCTGTCCCCAACAGATGAAACCGGCAGCAGCGTGCACCCCACAGTGCTGGCAACACTGCGGAAGCTGCAGGACGGGTATTTCGGTGGCGCAAGGTGAGCACAGCTTCCTGGGGTGCAGGAGGGGAGAGGGCTGGTGGCTTCTGAGAGCCTGGTTATGAGGGTACCTGCTGGGTCTGAGCATCAGCTGCTGGGGAACAAGCTGTGGAGGATACATTGGAGTGTGCTAGGCTGTAAGTGCACCTGGGGCTACAATCCCAACAGAGGAGATGCAAGGGAGGACATAGCTCTTCATGCCATTAAACCCATGGCTGCAGGATCCCTCTAATAGCTTTTGGACAGGCCTTCCATGCCCACCTGTGACTGGAGGAGTTGCAGGCAGCTAAAGCAAGCACTGGGGCATGTGTACTCTCCTGGGCGAGTGCGTCTCTCCCTGCCAAAGGGCCTGCCCTGGATCCAGGAGGCAAAGCCAAGGGTATTGCCTCTCCCTTCCTCTCTGTGTGACCTCCCCTCCTCTCGCCCAGGATCCAGACGGGTAAGTTGTCGGAGTTCCTGACAACGTCATGCCGAACGCACCTCAGCTTTATGGACCCTGGGCCAGAGGGTAAGGTCTTTGCCAAGAGTTGCAAGTTCAGCATTGACAGCTTTGAGGAGCTAGACGCCGAGGAGTGGCTGCATGGCTTGCAGATAGCAGAGGATGGTAAGGGGGAACAGGCCAGTCGCTGCTGTGGCGTGGCAAATATCAAACTCACCCATAAACCCATAACACCCAACCTGTGTGCCAGTGTCCGACACTGTGTTCTTCATACACTTGGGTTCTCACCATGTTTCTGTTCCCATCTGACCCTCCATCAATTAACCTTGTCTGGGTGACACTCATGGTGACACCAGTGGGGTGGGACTGGGTGAACTGATGCAGCTGTTGTAGCCCCCTCACCGGAGGGGTTTCCCAGCCAGACGGGGCTGAGGCTGGTGGACGTAGCCATGGAGAGCACAGAGGATGCTCTGGAATGAGCTGCTCCAACCTTTGTAGGCTGTTGCGAGGGGAAGAGATGAAGGCTCAGCAACCTGCCTCTGCTCGGGAGATTTGGATGAGGATCTTTGGTGAACAAGTGACAGTGCAGAAAGTGATGGTACAGTGCCTGAGACGGTGGGGAAGAGCCACCATGTCCCCAAGCAATCTCTGAGTGTTGTTTTCCCGAAGCCTTTGACCCTCCCTGGGCAGAGTGCTCCATGGGGTGCCAAATTGAGGCCTTGCTGCTGTGGATAGGGTGCCTGAGAGGGCCTTGGCCCATGGCAGCATGATGGACCCACCTTGTCCTGAGACCATGGTGGGGTGCAAGTTTTACTGCTCCCCTTGCAAGCAGGCCTTGGGTACATCCTCCGCCTGTGTGATCTAGTGTTGGTCATCTTCCCAGCCTTCCCATCAGTCTGCTCTGCCTCTGCTGCTCCTGTAGCCAATGTTTGCACTGCTGTGACTCTGAATACTTATTTCTCTTGCCCTCCTCTCGCTTTGCCTGCGGTCTGCAGGCTGCACCCGGGCTTCTCCAAGGTGTCTGCTTCCCCCCAGCCCCAATGGGAGACAGGGCCTGCCTGGCCTCTCTCCAGCAGCTAGAAGATGCTTAATTTTAAGTTCTTCCTATGGTCAGATGCTGCAGCCAGGCAGGATGATGTTCTCAAGCCTGATGTCTGGGGGACTCCTCCAGCCGAGCCTTCAGGTGCTGGCATGAGGCATCCCCACCAGATGTGGAAAGGGGATGCCGTGCTGTCGGCCTCAGATGCAGTCTGCAGCTCACCTCCTGGGGCAGCTTGTCTGCCAGCTGGAGAGCAGCAAGGCTTTGCCCTGGCCCACTGGCTGGAAGGGCATCGACAGCTCTGTGTTGTATTGCACTGCCTTGGCATGGGGCATCCCCCTCACTGCTGGGCAGCGCTGTTATCTCCTGTTATCTCTCCTCCATGCCACAGTTAGCAAGTTGTGGCTCTGGCACTCCTGATGTGGTGCTGGGAGCAATGGGAGCTGCCGGAGGCTGGGCAAAGAGCAAGGCAGGAGCTCTAACTCCTCCTCTAACTCCTAATTAGAAATAACCAGTAATTTCTAATTAGAAATAACTGTTGCAAAACCCACCCTGCCTTGCTACCGTGCTGGAGTCCTGCTTGGATGAGGCCCTTGCTGTGCTGGGGTGCTCCTAAGTGGTCTCTGCTTGGGCAGGCTGCCCCTGGCTGTGCCTCCCCTTCTTCCCCAGAGGGACAGAGCGCGAGGGTTTCACCGTGGGGTTTGAGCAGACTCTGCTGTCCTTGCGCAGGTTTGGACCAGACACACGCTGACTGCATCCAGGTCGGACTCAGAGGGAGTCCTAGTTTGGCCCCAGCTGGCAGCCCATGTCCCAGGCAGCAGAGTAGTGCAGGAACAGGGGTGCCATGGCTGCTGTGCTTTGTGAGCCTGGCTGCTGGCACTCTCCATCTGTCCATCTGGCTGCCAGCACTAGCCCCACGTTATCACTTTGTACAGCCAGCAAAGCTTCGCCCTCGCTGAGGCACAGCTGGGGAGCTCTCTGGGGTCTGGAGGCGCCCCGGCACAAAGCGGCTGACACCCCCCCCGCCTTCTGCCTCCCCTTCTAGCGGACACGTACGATGAGGTTGCTCAGTACTTGGACCACCTGCTGCAGCGCACGGTTCCGCAGTCAAACCTCCCTCCCACCGCCCAGCGGGGAGGGCTGAGCCGCTTCCGGGCTGCTGTCCACACCACCCGTGACCTCATGTCCCTGGCATCCAAGGCCAAGGACCTTCATGTCCAGAGTGAGTAACTCCAGCACCTTCAGCACCTTTGCTCAAGCCCGGGGGTGAGGCTCAGGTGGTTTGGGAGCTTTCCCAGCTGTGTGATGCTGGGGGCCCCGGGGGAGTGTGCCATGGGCTGTAGACCAACCCAGGCTTTGCCTGGGCAAAGGCACATTACGTCCATTGTGTTAGTCCTGGCCACGGGGTATCTTGGAGTTGGTGTCTGTGCAGTCCTCATGGAAACTGCTGAACAATAAGGGATGGCAGCTCCCCGTGACTTTCCTCTAAGGGGGCAGGGGCTGCTTCTCCCACAGCCGACTTCTCTGCAGCGGCTGCTGGGGGAGCAGAGTGTCAGATGTGAGGTGGTTTGGGGCACAGCAGTGGTGGTTGGGGTTGAAAAGTGTCTGCACCGACCTTGGCTTTCTTTTAGATGTTGGGCTGTATGTCCCCAGCAAGATCTTCCAGGCATCCCAGCAGTCGGTCAAGCTGCTGAGTTCACCCCACCAGCATGAAGTGGATGGCAAGGTGAGCCCTGTCCCTCCCAGACTGGCCGAGCAGTGCCATCCTTTCAGCTGGAGCCATGGTTGCGGGGCTGCATGGGGAAGGCTTGGTGTTTGGTGAGGGCGAATATCCATGTGGGAATGGCCTTGGATCCATAACCAGACCGCACTTGGTGCGGGGTGCTGGTGGTGGTAACCAGGAGCATGGGTCTTCCTTCCCCCAGAGCCACGCACTCCATGCAGAGATGAACCTGCCCCGTGATGAGGACGGCAACGTGGACTGCAAGGCACTGGTGGACCAGCTGCGCATCTGCCCCACGCTGCAGGAGCAAGCGGACATCCTCTACATGCTCCACATACTCAAGTACGATGAGCACCAAGTCCTGCTGGCTCACTGAGCAGAGAGAGACAGCGCAGCCGTGCGTGCATCCCAACCCACAAAGCCTGGGAGCTGCCAGGGAACTGCTGCAGGGCAAATTGCTGGCTATAACCCAGCATCTCCTTTGCTGCAGGGGGCCTGAGTGGCACACGGGGCTTGATAGTGAGCCTGGCCCCACTGTCAAGGAGCTTCTCACTGAGCTGTACGTGCGGGTGGGGAACACACGCCAGTGGGCCCTGATCCGCTACATCTCTGGCATCCTCAAGAAGAAGGTGGAAGCTCTGGATGAGGTAACAATGATGCAGCCGGCCTCTAGCGGGCTGAGGTCCCTGGGGGAGGAGGCAGCAGAGTGGGCCAGTGAACTGTGGCTGCATCACCTTTGTCTCCCTCTGCCTTGTGCTGAGGCCGCAAACCCTGAGCTGCTGGTGATGCCCGGGGTGACCATTTCTGTCCCCAGGCCTGCACTGCCCTCCTGTCTCACCAGAAGCACTTGACGGTGGGGCTGCCCCCGGAGCCACGCGAGAAGACTATCTCTGCGTGAGTGTGGCACCTCTCCCTCCTGACGCGTGCTGGGCTGGGGCTGGATGTGAGCCTGCTGCTCTGGAGTCTATGGGCAGGAGCTGTTTTGGGTGGCTGTCCCCGGCTGGTATCTCTCTTCTCTTGTGCTGTACAGACCAGGAGGGACGCAGGGCTTGCTCTGCTGCCTCTCATCTGCTCTGCAATTCATTCCCTCCCCAGCCCAATCCCCTATGAGGAGCTTGTTCGCCTCATTGATGAAGCCAGCGAGAAGAACCTCAGTGTGTCCATCCTCACCCAGGTGAGGGGCTGGGGCGGCAGGGGACCCCACAGCTGGGTGTCTGCTCTGGCGAGCAGCAGTGGGGTGATCTGCCTCTTCCCCTCCAGGAGATCATGGTGTACTTGGCCATGTACATACGTACACAGCCCGCACTCTTCGCTGAGATGTTCCGCATCCGCATAGGGCTCATCATCCAGGTGATGGCAACGGAGCTGGCGCACTCCCTGCGCTGCTCGGGTACGTGCAGCGGGGACGGCACCCTGGCTGGGGTGGGTGCTGAGGTGCTTGGGGCCCTGTCAGCCAGGAAGGAGAAGTGCTGTTAAAAATGGGCAGCTCAGCGCCAGGACAAGACCCTGCATGAAAGTGCTGGGGTCTGCAGCTGGGACTGTTCTCGGGCAGCACAGGCAGGTGATTTCACTGTGGTCTCTATTCAGGCATGCGTTGGGCTGGCACGGGGAAGAGGCCCTGTTGTAGGCAACACCTGGAGTTAGTGCACGTCCTTGGAGAATGAGCTCCTGTACCAGTGCTTCCCCTGCTAACAGAATGGGGTGCAGGGTAGAAATGTCCTAGGAGGGCTGTGATATGGGGTACAACATCCCAATTATGTTCTCCCCAGCTGGAGAAGCCACCGAGAACCTGATGAATCTCAGCCCGTCAGACATGAAGAGCCTCCTCTACCACATCCTCTCCGGCAAGGAGTTTGGGGTAGAAAGGAGCGGTGAGTCTCTCAGCAGGGTTGCGTGACTGTCTCTGGGCAAAGCTGGGTCCTGGTGTGGAGCATGGCCAGCTCCAGGTGTTCCCACCTGTGGGGGACGTCCCTGTCCTCCTGCACGTTCAACACAGCTGCTTCTGCACTGCAGTGGTCCAGCGAGAAGCCGTACTCTTCAGCAGGGTGGTGCTGAGCCAATTTCCAGGGATTGAGCCTGAGTCCTGTGGCTACTGGGGCTTTGCTTAGTTCAATACTTGGCCCAGTCAGGCCTGAATTGAAGCAGTTCAGTGCTGTGCTCATGGATCTCTGGTGCTGGTTGGGACAGAGGGCAAGGGTGTGTAGAGGTACCAGTGCCTGAGCAGCAATGAGGGATGTCCATGCCCTGAGCCATGGTACCCACTCTAGACTTCTCTTCCCCTCCAGTGCGATCAGTCGACTCGTCGGTCACCACCGCTATCTCCATCTGTGAGGTGGGGGCTGTTGGGGCCACCAAGCCTGAGCGTGCCGGCATCGTCAAGCTGAAAAGTGAGATCAAACAGGTGAGGGCAGGTGGTGCAGGCTGCTCCTGCCAGGTTTTGTGGGTGACAAGCAGCTACAGGACAGGCAGGATTGGTGGGAGAGCAGGAGGGAAGGTCGCTCCTGGGCTTCAGAGAGCTTACAGCTACTTCCAGGAGCTCCTTTTGGCTCCAGTCCTGCCGTGGGGGGAGAATAGGGGTAAATCTGTTAGTGGGGGTGGGGGCTGCTCTGGCAGTGCAGTTCAGGGGGAGCACAGGGGTGCTTGTGAAGGTGCAGGGGTGGGGAGGACCACGTGGTGTCCCAGGCATGGCTGGTGTCTTGGTGGGCCTCTTCCAGCAGCAGAAACTTCATTTCCTTCTTCTCTTGCAGCAACTGGATAAACGTAGGCAGTCTCTGACTGGGAGTAAGGTGAAGCCACCCTGGTCCTCCTGCAGCCTCAGCTTTTATCCCTCACACCACACACCAGGGCAGCTTCCGAGCGTGCATGAGTTAATGAGCTTTCCTAAACAAATCCACTGAGCAAGCTGCTGCAGCAATGAGCTGGCTTCCCCTCTCAGCAGGCTCAGGGTTGCTCTGTTCAGGACAGGGCAAGGAGGCTGGCTCCCTGGGAAGAGGTCAGCATGGCTTAACATACTGTGGGGGCCCAGGGCTGGCACTGCCCCACAGCCTTCGGGAAGCTCCCCTTTGAGTGGGACCAGACACGTTTGGACTGGCAGGGAGGAAGGCTTCTCTAAGCCATGGGTGTATTGGCATTACAACCAGCTGGGAGCTGTGCTCCATAGCTGCTATGGCCGAACAGATCCCATTATACCCACAAAAACTTGCTGAGCAGGATGGCATGATGTTTCCAGTGCCGTGACCAGCAGTGGCCCTGCCAGGCAGTTCGCTGGTGATCGCTGGATCCTGCCTGTAGCCTCCCTAGCTATTTCTTCTCTGGGGGAAGAGGCTCCTGCCCAGCTACAAATGACAAGGACCTCCTTCGGTGCCTGGTGTGTGTCCAGGAGGAGTCCTGAGCTCTAGGAAGGGTCCCGTCCTCAAAGAGACAGGGCCTGTGGGGACCAGGCTGATGCAGCAGGTTTATGGGCAACCTGCTGCAGTGTGAAACCTGGCATCACAGAGGGACTGTGTATGTGGCAAGGAGGGTCGTCCACAGGCAGTGACCTTGCTGCTGGCCCTCCAGTCTGCCTGAGACTAAATTCCTGCCTGTGCCAGCAGCCAACAAAGCAGTAGCAGCCCTGCTCCTGTGTGCTGGCCAGCATGAGCCCACTGCTGCCACAGCACCGGCGTGTGGGGGCCCTGCAGCCGCTCCGTGCCCTGGTGCAGTCCTTCCCCTCTGATGCTAACATGAGATTTTCTGCAGCTTGCCTTTTGAAACTACCTCTCAGTCTCCAGCTAACTGCAGCCCCGGGGGTAACTGCCCCATGACCTGAGCTTGGTCCGTGCTGCTGCTGCTCTGCTTGCTGTGATGGCTGCCCTGCTCCAGCACAGTCTGATTTTTGTCTCTCCCTTTCTCCTTCAGCCCCTCAGCTTGCAGTCCGGGGACGCCGACCTGAAGTCCTCTCTGGTAACCTGTGTTTGTTGGCTGCACACATGGGGTCTGTCCTGTTCACGGCTGCAGAAGGGGGCTGTGCTCTGGGGGGTGCTGTAGGGAGCCGGAGCTGCAGGGTGGGCTTTGCTGGGGGCAGGGGGTGGCAGCTCTGCCCTGGGAACCAGGCTGGGTCAGCACAAGCTTTTGGGCAGCAGCGGGCTGCATTCTTGTGGGGTATTTAACTTTGCAGCAGTCTTTTGGTCCTTGTTTTGTCTGCCCAGTCCACTGGGCACTCGGAGCTGCTGGGCAAGGGCTCCTTTTCAAGCATGCTGGAAGACCAGGGCACTAAGGACAGCCGTCAGGGCCAGTGGCAGCGGAGACGGCGGCTGGATGGGGCCCTCAACCGTGTCCCTGTGGGCTTCTACCAGAAGGTCTGGAAGGTCCTGCAGAAGGTGAGCTGGACATCTGGCTGGCTCCTCTCCATGTTTGTGAGCCTGTGGTCCCAGGCGCTGGCCTTGCCAGGGGGACTTAAGCACCCGGGGCTGGTCCCTGATGTTGTGTAGATACGTGCTTCATGGACAAGGCCTGCAGCTGGCCTTAGAAAGCTGGGGAAGAGCTGGAGCTGCCTTGTAGGCAGGCAGGACCCACCTCGTACTGTGCTGACCCTTGCAGAGGGGGGTCAGGTCTGCTCAGGTGCTTTATACATTTGCCAGGCAGGGGCAGAGCTGGAACTCATCCTCGGCATACTAAGCCAGGGAGCAGAGCCCTGTGCTGTGTGCAGGGGGGCTTCAGCTGATGCTGAACTGATGGGAAAGGAATGATGCTGTGCAAAGAGTCAGGAGGTGGAACTGGGGTGTGCGGGCAGCAAGCACCAATGTTCAAGTGGGGCTGGACCTACGTGTCTTAGCACAGTGCTTCTCCAGGCCATAGCCATAGTCTCTCCTTCTTGTTCTGCAGTGCCATGGCCTCTCCGTGGAGGGCTCTGTTCTCCCCTCTTCAACAACCAGAGAGGTAGGAGGTTATGTGAAGGGGGAACAGGGCAGGTGGGTTGGTGTTGGGTGCTGGGTTGCCCTGGGCGAGTACCCAGCATAGCTCAGGACTTGTGCTGGCGATACGGTGCTCTAGGTGCATTTCTTTCTCGTTCCTTGCAGATGACCCCAGGGGAAATAAAGTTTGCAGTGCATGTGGAGTCGGTCCTCAACCGCGTGCCCCAGCCAGAGTACAGGCAGCTGCTGGTGGAGGCTATCTTAGTGCTCACCATGCTGGTGGACATGGAGGTGCACACCATCGGCGGCATCATAGCTGTAGAAAAGATCTTGCAGATGGCCAATGACCTCTTCTATGAGGAGCAGGTAAGGGCGAGGCCTGGCTGTGTTCCCCACAGCTACAGAGGGTTCACCCACCTGGAGGATCCTGCCTGTCCCCACTGTGTTCATGGGGCACAGCAAAGACGTAGTGTCCTCCTCCCGCTGCTCACCATTGATGTGTCACACTGCGAGTGCAACGGAGGATGCTTGGGTGGAAGCTGGTGAGGGGGCTGCCCTTATTCCTAATGCTGCCTTTCTCATTCCCTGTCCAAAATCCAGAAAGCCCTGGGCGCTGACGACCACATGCTGGAAAGGGATCCCACGACGGGCATCTGCAGCCTGCTGTACGACAGCGCACCGAGCGGTCGGTTTGGCACCATGACCTACCTGTCCAAGTCGGTGGCCATGTACGTGTACGACTTCCTGCCCACCGATGGCTGCTCCATGCAGTAGCTCTCGCAGCTCCTCTCCCCGGGTTGCAGATGCCACGGGAGGGTTGTTTCGTACACCATTTAAAGATGGGCATTAGGCTAGTTTGCAGGCAATCTGCGTGGCCATCTCTCCTCCCAGTCCTGGCCTCTCGGTGGGTGAGTGGCTCTCCCGAGGAGCTCCGCAGGATGCACGCATGCTAAGCTGACCTGTGCCTGCGTGCAGCCTGAGAAGCAATTGCTGGCAGGGAAAGGCTGAGCTTTGAAGCCTACTTGTGTTAGAAGTGTCTGCCTGCACAGCTCCTCCTGGGCCATCACCCCCAGAGGGGCCTGGTTTGAGGGAGATGGAAAGGGCTGCCCTCACCAGGCGTGTGTGCTTGGCACTGCAGCGTGCTCCCTGGCCAGCTCATGCTCTCCCTGCCTCCAGCAGATCTGAGGTTTTTAACCTGTTCTGTGCTGCTTTTTATTCCAATTTGCAGGGTTTGTACTAGTGTAGGCTGGAGCTCTTGCTCTTCCTGCTGCTCATGGAAAAGCTTTGTTAGAGGAATAGGGGATGCTGCCTGAGCCTCTCTCCCAGCACACCCAAAATCACAGCAGTCCAAGCCAGCCACAGCTGTGTTGTGTGGAAGTAGGCAGCCCATCATGCCCCCCTCAGGGGTCCTGTGTGCAGAGCTGGGGACGCTGCGGGAGCCAGGAGCATCCCAAGGCGGTAACAGATCCCTGTTACTTGCAAGCTGTGAGGACGGGGCTTCTGGCTGGCTTGGGGATGCCGGTGGCAGCCCCTCTGTGCCGTCTGCTCTGTCCCTGGCAGCGTTGCTAATGGCTAAGTCACGGGTTTCCAAGTTCATACGTGCCCTGTGAAGCAGCTCTGAGCTGGCTGCTTGGCTCAGCATTAGCTGTGCCATCACAGATGTGCTCTTAATGCTCAGCTCTGGCCTCTGCCCCAGCTCCCACAGCCTTGCACAGGAGAGGGGTGGTGGCTTTAGGGTGGGTCCCAGCTCTGCTCTAATCCTGCAGGTCAAACCCCACATAGGATAATGTGGTTGGACTGATGGGGATCAGGCACGCACACACCACAAAGTGGTGGGGGGAGTGGGGTTATAGAATCATAGAATAGTTTGGGTTGGAAGGGACCTTTTAAAGGTCATCTAGTCCAACCCCTCTGCAATGAGCAGGGACATCCTCAACTAAATGAGGTTGCTCAGGGCCCCCTCCAGCCTGACCTTGAATGTTTCCAGGGTTGGGGCATCTACCACCTCTCTGGGCAACCTGTGCCAGTGTTTCACCACCCTCATCGAAAAACACGTCTTCCATGTATCTAGTCTAAATCTACCCTCTTTCAGTTTAAAACCATTACCCCTTGTCCTATTGCAACAGGCCCTGCTAAAACAGTAGTCCCCATCTTTCTTATAAGCCCCCCTTAAGTATTGAAAGGCTGCAATAAAGTCTCCTCGGAGCCTTTGTTTCTCCAGGCTGAACAACCCCATCTCTCTCAGCCTTTCTTCCTAGCAGAGCGGCTCCAGCTCCCAGACCATCTCCGTCGCCTCCTCTGGACCCGCTCCAACAGGTG